TGTCTCTCCTCTATCCACTCACCCCAACCGGTCAAGGCAGAAGGCCGCCCACCAAGAGCCGGGGTCTGTCGGAGGTTTCTTCCGTTAAAGGGAGTTTTTCCTCCCCACTGTCGCCAAGTGCTTGCTCAAGTGGGATTTGTTGGGTTTTCCCTATGCAATAATATTGATAACAGTAAGGTCTAGACCTTACTTTGTAAAGTGTCCTGAGATGACTTTTGTTGTGATTTGGCGCTATACAAATAAAATTTGATTTTTGATTTGACACTGAGCTGTTGAATTTGGATATTCACACCAAGCAAAGAGGTGGATGTCAGTAGCACAGGTGCCCAGGCTCTCCCCTTCTCCACACTGTCAGCTGTGCAACTTAATCTGCGTATCAGCATAGATGCATTGGCCAAACCTGTGTTGCAGTGCTCTCTTGATGGCTGACCAGTTGAATTATTCCTCGGACTGGAAGTCAGTGAGGACCAGAAGAGCTTTGCCTTCCAGGGCAAGGACAACCTGGGTAGCTATCTCCTCTGTCGACCAGGCATTAAAGCAGGCTACTACCTGCACTTGGATGAAGTACATCTCTAGCGGCTCTTCCCCTTTATAGTGTGGCTGCTTCAGCACCCCTCACCAGTCGGTCCCTGGCTCCGGGCTGCAGTCTGGTCAAAGCTGTGGTGCTAGCACTATGGTGTGGCTCTGTCCTGCGCTGGCTCCATTAGCGGTCTCATTCTGGCGGGCTCTCACAGAGAGGGGTGGCAGGCAATCTCAATGCAGCTACCAGAGCATATGCTTTGGTTTGTAACATTACCTCTTCATTCAGCTGGGAGAGGAGTTCGTTGATCTCTCGGTGAGATGTCATTGTCTCTGGAGATCCCACTTCTAATACCAATGTAACATCACTGGGAAGAAGGGTTGGGAGACCAGAGCCCATCTTTTCCTCTTATACTGACAGCCAGAGCAACCACACAGCACACACTGAACACTGCCACAACAATCCTGCCAACCTTGAACTATATGCATCCCGCCCAGAGGGGCATTCTGGGGGACCCCGCCAAGTGTCTCTCCACCCCCAACACTACAATATGTTGTAAAAGAAATTCAGTGTACCTTGCATGCATTGTGTGTGTGTCTGTTTATGTGTGTGTGTACTGACTCCAGAGAGAGCTTCTCCTCTTCTTCGTTCAGGTTAGGGAGTCTTTGTAGACCTAAAGTCATCCTGAGGGCATCAACATGATCCTTCAGAGGTTTGTACTCATCATGCAGACGGCGAGTTGTTTCTAGTAGCTTATTCAGATCATTCTCCGACTGCTTGATGGTGCTCTCCATCTGAAATGACAAGATTACATAAATATGTGTGTAATATGCTCAGTACAAGATATCTGTGGTTGTCTAGATATTGATACTTTGATAATGATTGTTCTGAAATTACATACACTATTATTGCTATATGTTGTATAAAATTCCTATTCTCAGTGCTGCTGCTGCTAAACTGTACTCATCTGAAAGCTGAACTCAAACTTCAGTAACACTACCTCTACATAAGCTGCCTATCTCTGAGTGTACTACTCACTCACCACATTTATATCTGCATGGATGAGCCGCAGCTCTTCCACATGTGCCATTTTCTCTTGTAGAAGGAGATCCATCTCTTGTTTGTACTCTTTCAGATGTTTCTCCTCGGACTCCAGAGCCTCAAACTCAATCTTCAGACGAGACTTAATCTTCTGCATCTGGATGGTCTTATTCCTACAACCAAAGGCACAGACAAAAAGACATCCACAGTAAGGTTATTTCCGTCACAGATATAAAGGGATAACTGAGATTTTCTCACAAAATCAACGAGATTTAAACATCACATTCGTTTTCATCTGGGCTTTGAATTGTGTAAAATTGCTGTTAACATTAACCTAACAGACGTTCTGCATTATTGCGAAGCGTTATAACCATGACTGCAGTCGTGAGTTATTCTGTACATAAATTATTGTGCAACTGTAATTCCGTTATTAAGCGCTGCTGCGAAAAATACATAATGGTAAATAACAAGCATTCAGCACCAGTGTTAAGCATGGTGTTAAGTGGCTAATGGCAGACCCCTAAGCTTGCTAGCTACGTAGCTAGCTTAGCCAGAACAGCGTTCATTATTAGCAGCGCACATCTGGGTTTTTGTTGATACACATCTGGGTTGCTGATGCATGTTTGACTGGGCACCCTGACTACAGCTTGTGCGAATTTATCTCTCCTTTAGACTGTAGCCGTTGCTTTTCAATCCTGTCGGAGACACACTGACGTAAAAGCTAAATAACAAAGCCCTCTTAAAGAAAAGATTCGCAGCAGACTGGCTAATATTAGCTAACTTAGCTCAGTAACAAAAGCCAAGCCAAGGGGCTTATGTTTGTCTGGCTAACGTTAGCTAAGATAACATTCTCAGTACTTGTCAAGCATGCAGCAACCACAAACTTATCCCACATCTAAGCCTTACCGTATTTCCAAGATATTTTCTAATTTGCACATTATTTCTTGTTCGTCCGCCATGGTTTGGCAGGATGTTGTCGTTCACCTGTCTGGCTCCGTTACCCGTTAGGCCTCCTTGTTGATAAAATCACAATAGCCGGTGTGCGCGCTCACGAGCACGCGCCCGCCGTGTCAAGCCGTGGTTACGTGTGGTTGCGCGCTCTGTGCCACACAGGCTGTGGTGAAACACAAGTAGAAAATATAAGCTTCAGCTGAGGAAACAAAGTGACTCCACACTGGCATGCTATATAGCCTAGTACTGCATGAATTACTACTGTTGGGTGGTTTATGCTATAACTGTACATTGTGTATCATATTGTGACGACCGCTGGCTCGGATGAAAGGAGCTGGCCTGACCCTGTCCTATACTTGACAGTTAACTAGCCAGCGGTGTGCCGGCACCTGGCTCAACAGGGAGGAGAACACCTGGTTTGTCTTTTTGTGGTTTTATTGAACGCAGTAAGGAGACAAATGAAAACGCTGTCCAAACTGGCACCATGTGCTCTCTAAAGAAAATAATGAAAGAATAAACAACACATCGCCCAGAACCCGACCAAGTCCCGCGCCAATAAACACAAACTGACACACCCACCAGTTACACCTCTCATACTCTCCTGTACTTCTTCCTCGCCAAACCCCACATTGGACAGAACAGCGCGGGTATTTCACTGAAACAAACGGTAACCAATACATGCACAGCTGTCAATGACAGTGTCAAACCCATTTGCACACAACAGAACACACGAACATCAGCGGCCGGTCAGGGTCGCCACAATATAATGTTGTTTGCATGCAAAACAATCTACAAAGTTACTAGTGTCAGCTGTTTTCAAATAGGAGGAAAAAACAAAATGGAAAAAAATCATATCTGAAATACAGTGAAACACTAGTAAGCTAGTATAAATTAGAAACAGAACCTACTCAAATACCCTAAAGTACAAGTTGGCTACTTCCAAATTACACTACAGCGGGCTACAGTTAGGTTATGTGAGGAAATGGGCCCATGCTTAGTGTTCCACCACTAGAAGTCATATCCCTAGTATTTTTCTAGGGAATTTGGAGACGTGAAAATATTTTACATTTTATAATGTAAGCAAGACACTTGGTGTCTTCGAATATGACCTGCCTGATAAGGTGCAGACCTCCAAAATAGCTCTGACCCATCAAAACATGAACTCCAAGACTTCTGAATTTATTTGACACAAAAACATTAGCAGATCCTTTAAGTCCTGTAAGTTGCAAGGTGGGGCCTTCATGGATTGAACTTGTTTTTCCTACATGCCCCACAGATGCTCAGTGGGTCTGAAATGGTATGTGTAGGCCAAGGCAACAGCTTGAACTCTTTGTCATGTTCCTCGATATTTTCCTGAACCTTTTATGTGGTGTGGCAGGGCACATTATCCAGCTGAAAGAGGCCACTGCCATCAGGGAATACCACTGCCATGAAGGGGTGTACCTGGTCTGCAGCAATGTTTAGGTAAGTGGTGCATGTCAGAGTAACATCTGCATGAATGGCAGGACCCAAAGGTTTCCCAGCAAAACATTGCCTCTGCTTGCTTGCCCTCCTCCCATAGTGCTTCCCGGTGCCATATATTCCCCAGGCAAATGATGTGCACACATGCAGTTATCTGTGTGATGTAAAAGAAAACATGATTCATCAGACCAGGCCACTTTCTTCCTTTGCTCCACGGTCCAGTTCTGACACTTACATGCCCATTGTAGGCACTTTCAGTGATGGACAGGGGTCACCATGATCTGCAGCTATGCAGCCTCTGTGTCATGATCCTGTCCCACCGGTCCCAGGCTTTTATTTTGAGATTACTTCCTGTATGGTTCACCTCACTTTTGGACTCTTTACGTTAATCAACTAGTATTGTTTTCACCTGCATCTCATCACCCTGCTTGGCAACACCTGCTACAACAAGCATATAGGCAACTTCCCCACACCAGGAAGTTACCAGATTGTTCTAGACCCCAGCTCTGACTTTCCGGCATTCTTTCTCATGTCTGACTATTTTGTTCTGACCACAGATTGCCTGTTGACCACCCTGTGTTGCCTTATTCCCCCAGATTCTGATTACCTATTGTGTACCGACCCTCTATCTCCTCCCCGACCTCTCTCTTGTGGATCTCTCAGCTGTAGCTGTTTACCGGCGCTGACCTTGGACTATATTATCGACCTGATTTTAAAGCTGGACTTTGTACTTTTGTTTTGAGTGTTACTAGTAAAAAGACTATTCTCTACCTCAGTCCGTCTGGCAATATAATTGAGTTCACTACAAACACTATTTGGCAGCTTCACCCGCCAAACCTGACACCCTGTATGTACTAAGCTGCAATGCAGTGTGTGTTCTGACACCTTTAGCCAGCATTATGGGTTTTTGTTATAGTTTGTTTGTTTTGGTTTTTCAGAACTCTGTGCTTCAGTAGCTCTTCACTGGGATTGGACCAAACAGACTAGCCTTTGCTCACATCAGTGAGCCTTGGGTGTCCATGACCCTGTCACCGGTTCACTGTTTGGTCTTTCCTTGGACCACTTCTGGTAGGTATACCACTTCTGGTAGGTATACCACTGCAGACCGGGAACAACCCAAAAGACTTGTCATTTTGGAGATGCTTTGACCTAGTTGTTTAGTCATCAAAATCTGGTCCTTGTCAATGTCACTAAGATCTTTACACTTGACCATTTTTCCTGCTTACAATTCTAAAACTGACTGTATACTTTCTGCCTAATGGATCCCACCCCTTGTCAGGTGCCACTGTAACAAAATAATCAATGTTATTCACTTTACCTGCCAGTGGTTTTAATGTTGTGGCTGATCAGTGTATTCCATAACAACCTATGCATTATGTGGAAGGATTATTGGATGAGCAGAATGTGCTGGCCCCATCTCTCCTACTGGAACATCAGGTGCTGTTGAATTAATGTTGATTAATGTCTAAAGCCATTTCAGTGTCATGGGCCCAACTCAATGCAGCACCAGTTGCTGAGAGGGTGCCCACCTGATGACCCTATAGACTTACCTTCATTCTTACACCCACACAGAATCTATATTAGTGTTGCTCATAATATAGCATTGGTGGTTGGATAATTGAGAAGGCCTGGCTCTCAGATTGTCTACTAAGCCAGGTGGGCCAGCCACTATTTAACTAACCTGAGTAAATACAACACAGATACTCTGGTTCAAGCCACATATGTGCTCTTTGTTTGGATGAGGATTCAGGGATGCTTTGTTTTAAGGGTAGGTTAGGATTGGAAAATGGTGTTGCCCTGAACATTTATGATGTCATTCCACCTCACCAATCCAGACCCAAATAGTGGTTAAAAATAATTTAACTACTGAGCTTCCATATGAATGCTCACCCTGTTCTTTGGCACTTTATTATCAACTGCTGATTTCTATCCCTTTATAAATAGGCCTGGAAGACAATTATTATAAATACTAGATGGGTTATACACAATCCAAACCTAATAAATTTAAGAAAAATATTCATAGAAAATGTAGGCTGCCTCTCTAAAATGTGTGGGCCCTGGGCTTCCACTAGATTAACTATGGGAGAAATACTTGAGAACAACACAATGGTCCATTATCACCCAATATAATCCTTGAAGGTATTGCAAGCAGTTTCATATGACGCTGCAGGGAAATAACCACTACACGCACCTCTCCGAAGAAGTGATTTTACTACAGTTTTAAAAATCACAAATGTCAACTGTAAGTAGCTCTTTTATTCATTTATGTTTTCACTGTTTCATATTTAGTTGAAATGTTGACACTGCAAATTGTTGAAATTTATAACCTTGTTCTGCAACATAAAAACTTCAAAAAGGCATTGGTTTGTTGTTCTTAGACTTGAGAAATGCTTTGCGAGCAAAACCTATGATGATATTGTGCCCAGTTGCCAGATGTTTCTAGTGTTTGTTCCTGAATTTATTGAAATGTTGTCACATTATCTACATAAACATAACAAATGCAAAATTATTCTTTGCTTATTTTCATAAATATTCATGAAACAATCTGCTCAGCAAGACTTACAACTAAAATATGTTGTTATTATTACTGTTATAATTATTACTGGCACTATAGTGGAAGGCTGCCTTGCCTAGTAAATCCCAGAAATGGAATGGAGCAACCAATCTGTCCTCTATGCTGCTTTTATTTTTTCAATTTTCAGTTTATACCAACAACTGCAAATGTGTACTTTACTATGCAAGATTAACACTAATGTGTGTCACTGATTTCACTCTGTCATTAATTCACATGTATCGAAACATGAACCCCATATTCTCAGTTAATTCTGAAATATACTGTGGGATTCATGTTTTTCTTATTGTAGTCCTCACCAACCTACAATTCCTGCTTGAACAGAAGAAGAATGTAAGCAACACTTTTTTGCTGTCAGAACCAACAGAACACCAGCAAATTCAGAATTGTTTCAAAGAACAAACAATGTGAGCACAGAACTGGTGGTGCTCCTTTATTACTCAGGTATTATTGTTCTCCACGACGTATCCCCCTGCTGACACAGATGAATGAATAGCAGTGATCTTTTGCTCCTGTATCTCAGTGTGAGTGTTTTCTCTGGCAGATAAATATTCGAGTTACAACCATGGATGCTGAGCTAGAGTTTGCCATCCTGCCCAGCACAACTGGCAAACAGCTTTTTGACCAGGTAGGCTATGCACGTCACAGGTCATACACAAGAACACAGCAAGCAGATGCAGTCAGTTCAGGTGCAGGTGTAACAGGCAGGTTTAAATACTGGGTGGTTAATTGCAAGTGCGCAGGGATGTTCAAGTGACTGAGACAGGGGAAGGTCAGAGGGCATCTTGAGAAATGACAGTTGAAAAAAAGTTAATTTAAATGCAGGGGCCAGATGAAGTGAGACTGTGGCTGAATGAGCTCAATTAATAGGACCAGGACAGGAATAATGACAGAGCATTACATAAAAGCTGGCACCTTGACAGGCAAAAATCTGATCACGTACTTATTGCTATGTTTAGGTGGTGAAGACTATCGGGCTGAGAGAAACCTGGTTCTTTGGTCTCCAGTATCAGGACAGCAAAGGCTTCTCCACCTGGCTCAAGCTGAACAAGAGGGTGAGGAGAAAGTTTGTGTGATAACTTTACATCCATTGGTGGCGCAACGTGATTCCTCTGACAGCTTGATACGTAAATGAAGACGTAAACAATACACTGAGGCTAATTAGAACCTATTTATGTATTCTGGCACCTTTCTCCTGTTGGGTGCCAATCCCAGGTGACAGCTCAAGATATGAAGAGGGGCAGCCCTTTGCTGATTAAGTTCAGGGCTAAGTTTTATCCTGAGGATGTTGCTGATGAACTGATCCAGGAGGCAACGCAGCGCCTCTTCTTTCTGCAGGTTGGAGATCAATGCACATACAGAAACACTGGTCTTTCTTAAAGGGAACCATGATGTAAATTTGCACCCCTGAAACATGGGTTTATAATGATCATGGGCTTCCCTAATAATTCCCATTTATTTTACAAATTAAATGGCACTACTGGTTGTATTTTATGCCATGCAAACAATCTATATTTTTAAAGTTATTGATAAAGGCTAAAAGAAAAGAAAGTTTTGCATTAACATAACAACTGAGATCATTTTGACACAAATTTTTATCCAATCTGACAAAACAAAACAACAGTGCTGAGCCTTTTTTAATGACCAGTGGGGGTTTCACAATGACTCATGCAAATCTCTTAACCCTCATGGGTTTTTCATAGGGGAGTATTTTCACAGAAATTTGTATCCAGGTGCAAAAAAATAAACATCAGGACACATAGGGTTTTTCTCCCTCTTTCTAAGCCAAATTAACACTAATGGCAGCATCATAAAACATGATTTGTGTATCAAACCAGATCTTGTGTGTGTGTGTTTAGGTAAAAGAGAGCATCCTAAATGATGATATATACTGTCCACCTGAGACTGCAGTGCTCTTGGCCTCGTATGCAGTTCAAGTCAAACATGGAGACTACAGGAAAGACTATCATGTACCAGGATACCTTGCAAGAGAGAAGCTTTTGCCACAAAGGTAGTGAGCTAGGTAGTTCATGTAATTCCAGTTTCAGTTAGCTGGATTCTAACCGTCATGTTCTGTTTTCTGATAAAACCAGGGTTTTGGAGCAGCACAAGCTGAATACGAATCAGTGGGAAGAAAGAATACAGGTGTGGTATCAAGAGCACAAAGGAATGCTGAGGTACTGCAGTTTTACTAAGCAAAAGTCTTTAATGTATTTCGACAAACAGTTTTTTTGTAGCTCATTAAACTATCCAAACTGCAGAGAAGATGCCATGGTGGAGTATTTGAAGATAGCCCAGGATTTGGAGATGTATGGGGTCAACTACTTTAGCATCAAGAACAAAAAAGGATCAGAGCTGTGGCTGGGGGTGGATGCCCTGGGTCTAAATGTCTACGACAAAAAGGACAAGTAGGTTGCCATTTAAAAATGTATATAGCTCTGAGAAACTTGTACACTTACTGTTGTATACTCCTCTACATAACTGTTTAGACATGGTAGCGACTTAGCTCTAGGGATAGCGATAATGGTCGATCAGTCCTTTGGTCGAGTTAGAACTATCTAAAAAACTGTAAGAATGTTTGCTGTAAATTGTTGTGCAGATATTTACAGCCCTCTGAGAATAAATCCTACTAACTTTAGTGAGCCTCTGATTTTTCATCTGCTTTTACAATGAGGTTGATTTTTTTTCTTTTTGTAAAATGTCTAGAAAATTAATGGATGGAATATCACAAAATACAGTACAGATATTGATGGTCCCCAGAGGATGAATTCTAATGACCATATGGTGTTACCCAGAATTCTCCTCTAGCGCTACCATCAAGTTGACATTTACAGTTCAAAGTGAAATGTGTTGACATCTGTCGGATGCACTGAGAATTGGTACAGACTTAGAGATTGCCTCTAGAAATGGATTAAGACATGAAGTGCTTTGAATAATCATTTTTGTCTGATATAGTGTTTGCCCAAAATTGTCTAATTAACATCTACTCCTTCTTCCTTATTACAAAAAGTTTAAAATCTGTGTTAACTGCTATATAAAAGATGTTTCCTGCTTCACTGAAAGGTCAAATGTTAAATTATGCACAGTGGAGGATTCATGTTTCTACTTCATACATCATAAGTTGCTTATTGGGCCATGACTGGCTTCCAAACTACCTGCGATGTCACAAACTGTGCTCGAACATGTACATCTAAAACTCAGATTTAGTTCCCTTCTTTAGTGTTAAACCCTGCACAGTGAAGGTCAAACATTCAAAACAAGAAACAATACAATACATTTTCCAGTGTAGGCTGATTTTAACCTTTTTTGAGTGTAAGTATATCCAAAACTGGTTTAAGAACACTGTACAGGATGTATGTAGTATTACTGTAAGTGTGTTACATGTAGCATGTTGATGTTAAGGCCTCATAGAGCTGCTGCAGATGTAGACTCTTAGTTTTGTTTAACTTTGTCTTTATTTATAAATCATGCAAATATTTTACAGGATGACACCAAAAATTGGCTTCCCCTGGAGTGAGATCAAAAACATTTCCTTCAATGACAAGAAGTTTGTCATCAAACCCATTGACAAGAAGGCTCCGGTAAGCTGAAATATTGTCATTAAAGATTCTTAATAGTGATTTGTCTGTAGCACTTACATTTATGAAGCATATTGTTTAATAGTGATTTGTCTGTAGCACTTACAAAATTTATGAAGCATATTGTCACATGAAATACATACCTATTTATACATATAAATATGTATATGTTTTTGTTCCATATTGGCTCATATTGAGGGATGGTATTATTTGCCAATTTTCCAACATATCAAATGTCAGTTAACCTGAAAGGCCCTTTGTGCAGCTTGATGGTCTGTTGAACTGTGAGCCTTGTTTTAACGTAGCTCATTTCATCGATGTTTGGTTTGGATGGATTAAATAGCTACTCATTGTTCAGTGCTTAGGGATAGCTAGATTAGCAATGTTTACATACACAATCCTACAAATTCTTCTTCAAAGACATATATTGTACGTCCATTCATATTTACATTGTGGCAGTAAACAGGAGATGTGAGAAAATCCTACATCCTTGTTATTGATCAAATTACCAGTTTTGCAAAGCCCTTAATCTCCTTAACATCCCTGACCTTTTGTTTCCCAAGGCCACTCTTAGGGTATGGCTAGTTGGACTGCCAGCAGCTACAAAAAAACCTGCTGCTCAGTCCTGGATTTTTCCACACAGTTTGACAGCACGGTCATGGCATAAAGTGTTATAGGAGCTCGTATTTCAGGAACTTTCAAGTGCTAGGATAAATGCATCCCCTCCTGAAACAGTTGAGTTTGGGGTGGATATTATAAGCTCAGTGAAAGACTTATCAGTGTAGACTCATGGACCCTCTTTACTGAGCTTTCTTTTGTTTTCATTTTTCTGCACAGGATGAGGTAGGAAAGGGAGGGTGAGGTGGGAGATGTGTGTATGTTCTTGGTACAGGAAGACTATTTTGGTGGTTCTTGAGTTCTTGTGATGTGTTTGCCTGTTAAAACTCAATAAATAGTGAATTGCTAAAGGCATAAATTAAAGCAAGCAGTCTGATGAGAGCATCTGCTATGTGATTTCATTCACAAACATGAATATAGCCCCTCTGCTCAACTTGCCTTCTGAGTTAAGGAAGGCATCCAAGAGCTTAAGAAAATATGGTAAAAACTGAACCATCCTTTAGTTTGTTTATGTAAGTCAGTGTGGTTGACTGTAAATCAGAAGCATCATAAATAAATCCTTGGTTAATCACTCCGTGGTGATTTCTGTATTAAAGGACTGTGTTTTCTACGTACCTCGTCTTCGCATCAACAAACGTATCCTGGCATTGTGCATGGGGAATCATGACCTGTACATGCGTAGACGTAAACCTGACACCATTGAGGTGCAGCAGATGAAGGCCCAGGCCAGGGAGGAGAAGAACAAGAAGCAGATGGAGAGGTATGGAAGGAGAAAATAATGAAAGCTTTTTAAAATACAGTTTACAGTGTGTTCTCTCTGATTTAAGCAAGAATTGTCAAGAGATATTTTTTTCAGATGTGTATTTATGCATAATTCTCTTGTCAGGGCTCTGCTTGAGAGCGAGAAAAAAAGGCGAGAAAATGCTGAGAAGGAAACTGAGAAGATTGCCCGTGAGACCATGGAGCTGTTGGAGAGATTGAGACAGATTGAAGAGCAGACAAAGAGAGCTCAGGATGGTCTGACAACTTTCTGAATACAAATGTTTCTCAACTTAAGGTTCATCTTTACTGTTTAGGAACATTTTAAAAAATGGCTTATTATATAATGATAGCAGGATCTCTTTATAATGTGTACTACGTGGGCATATCTGTGTGTTGGACATTATTGTGTACATATACATGTGCATTTTAGAGCTGGAGGAGCAGACTCGCAGGGCTCTTGAGTTAGAGAAGGGGAGGACAATTGCTCAGGAGGAGGCTGAGCGCTTGGACAACGACTGCCGAGCTGCAGTGGAGGCTAAAGCAGCCCTACTACACCACTCTGAAACCCAGATCGAGAACCAGGAAAGCCTGGTATTCATGCACAACACATTTTTCATTTTCATTTGAGGATTTTAATTCAATTGAATAAATAAAATTGCATGAGTGGGTTTTTTTTGTCCAAACCCTAAAAACAATCAATATCCATGTTGTTATAAAGTCAACATTTAGCCTAAGACCAGTTCACTCATTATTCACTCATTTACAGTCAAAATAATGCACTAAAAGCAGCCAAGTAATTGCTGTCATTCATTTAAGAAAATGACTTACGTTTTCAGCTGAAATAAAATAATATTAAGAAGTGATATTGCATATAAACATATACATACACACATAGACATATATTCTCTTAGACACAAATGCACATGCACATATTGAGCACAATGACCTTAGAAGAGGAGCACTC